TTCTCTATCACAAAATACCAACTTTCCTCATTTTAACACATAATGTTTAAAAAAAAAATTTCGGGGGCTCCGAGACCCCCCTAGTTCAACAAGCTGGCTCCACCCCTGTTTGTATGCACATGTTAAGGAAATTGAGAACCCGCAAGATATTGCATCTTGCCTACCTTTTTCTTCTTAATAATATAATGTTGCAGGATAAGAATATGGAAAGAACATTCAGTTAACTTGGAATGGGTACAGGAAACTTCGCATTTCTGATCTGAACATGTTTCACCTCTGGAATGTTCAGTGATGAATCTACCTTGACTGCAGGAGTCTTCAAACCCTTTCTCGTGTGAATTGTTGCTTCTGTAGTCATTTCAACCTGTAGATCAGTTGTTATACATTGGAGAACTTTTCACCGTCCTCATGGTAAATGAATTCAGAACCCCTGTTTCTGAAGATTTGAATTAAAAGTTTGGAGCCCAAATTATTCTTAGTTTTTATGTTGGGTAGAATAAAGCTAGAATACATAGAATATTCCTCTAGTCATAGTAGAAAAGACAAGTTTAAAATAATATACATGCGGCCATCTCTAACAGCCTATCGAAACTAATCCCATACACTACAACAAAATTGTCACTTCACAGCATACAAAAAGCTATCGCAATAAGTGATTTAAAGCGACACATTTTTAAAGTTTGTCACGAAGATTTTGATGAAAAAAGTAAGTATAAAAAAATTTAAGGCGACATAAAAGTTGTGACATGTGAGAAGTCTTGACAAATAATAAAAGTTTGTAGTAAAAAACACGAGGAAAGCAAGGCACTTATTTTTTGGTGGAAAAGTTATGGCGACAAGCTTTTATTTCTTGCAACAAAATTACATTTTGCAACAAGGAATATTTGTTGCTAAAAATTCTATTGATGGAGGAAAAAAATCTCTACAAGAAAAATTATTGTTTACAACAGGCAAAAAAATATTGCCATGGGTCTTCAACAACGTTCACCCATATGTTGTGGACTTTGATGTTGTCGTAGAGTAGAAAGATATGATAACGTCTAATGCACATCGTAAGAGGCCTCAAATGCAAGTTAAGTTTTTGCGACGTTACTCATCCGTTGCTTTTATTATATTTTGCAACATTCTTTGATTGTTGTCTTAAATTCTTTTTGCGATGGTGTTTTAAGCTTTTTTTGCAAAATATTGTGGTGAAAAAAGTAAGTACCTAAAAAATATAAGGCAATTTAAAAAGTTTTTGTAATATTTCAAAATACATGACAAATAATAAAGATTGTCGCCACAAAAAAATTAGCTCCAACAAAAATTCTATAAAAAATTATACGATCAAACTTTTAGTCACAAAATAACTTCCAAAATTGAACTACTGGATCCAATCAATCCATAAAGAAAAATAGTCATGTCAATGTTAGGAAAAGTGATCCTTGAA